GGCTCGAACTCCCGAACCGTGAGATCGTGACCTGAGCCAAAGTCGGACGCTTAACCTACTGGGCCACCCAGGCGCCCTTCAGGATCCAATTTTTAATTCCCGTCGAACGTTCACATAATTGGCCTGGCGGTACAAGTGCCTATTGTGTCTTTCCATCTGTGTGTAACGAAAGGAAGGGCACGTTGAAAATGAGGTCCCCACCCCCCAGCAGTCAGAGTAACGTTTTTCAGGATCCAGGTTGAACACCCGTGTGAGAGCCCAGGCTGTGGCTGTTGAGTGTCAGGCTCCGACCCTGTGGACCGTCAAGGTGAGGACCCGGTGTTCTGCTGAAGTGCTTCCTTGCTACCTTCCCGCTCTGGAGTCCCGCGCAGCTCGCCGAGCCAGGCCGGGGCCCGTCTCCAGATCCGCACACTCGGAAGAATCTGGCAGCTCATCCCGGGCGAGTCACGGCGGAGGGCGCCGACCACAGCCTGCTCCTCACGGCCTGCGCCCTCCCCTCCCGCAGAGAGAGCAGGCCAGGCCGCAGAATCCCCCACCTCTGAAGGACACACACTAGCGGGGTGACGGGTGTGAGCTAGCCGCGTGGTTTTGGTTAACAAGTGAAGCATCAAGTTCAGAGCGACACCAGGCCAACAGCCAAGACGTGGAAGCAACTCACGAGCCCACGGACTGATGAGCGGGCAAAACCAGGTGTGCTCACGACAGAACGGGACGGTAGTCGGCCTTAAAAGGAAGGAAACGCGGGCGTGTGCTTCGGTGCGGGTGGGCCCGGAGGGTGCGTGCGGAGTGACGAGCCAGGCACAAGGGGACACGTATGGCAGGACCGCACATATAGGACCCCCAGGTTCGCAGAAACGGTGAGGGGGATGGCGGGCGCCAGGCTGGGCACAGCGGGCAGTGGGGGGCTCTTTAAAGGCACGGGGGACGGGCTCTGCGAGACGAAATGCTCCGGAGGCCGTTAACGCCGCGGTGCGAAGATACGTACCGCCTCCACCGAACTGCACGCACAGAAACGGTCCGGTGAAAATTTTATTATGTCTTTCACCGGGGGATGAAACCCAAAACGGTGCCGGTCTGTTCGACGTCCGGAGACCAGTGGGTTCTCTCCCCGTGTGCGAGCCTCGTGGGCTCGGGCCGGGAAAGCGGGGATCGGGTGTGAGGTATGGTCTCCGCCACCAGACCGGTCAAACCCGTGCTGGGTCTGCCAGGTTGGCTCTGAGGGCCTATCCTTTCCCCGGCTCGGGAGAGGCTCTCCTCGAAGGAGCGATGGTCTGAGGCCATGATAGTCAACGTACCCTTAGGCATTGAGGGGATTCGGGCCGCAGAGTGCAGGTTATCACCTCCAGACCCACACGGGGCCCCGGAATTCCGGCCCCCACGCTGTGAATCGTGATGGGATGAGTCACCAGGCCGTCTTGGTTCAGACTTACAGCGCTTCCCACGTGATGTTTTTTTAATGATTCAGATTGCCTTCTGATTTGCGTCCATAAACGGGATTCCTGAGTTGGATTCATGAGCGAAACATACGTCACTTGTGCCTATAAAAGCTAATCAGTTTAGGGGCATCTGGGTGGCTGTCGGTTGAGCGTCCGACTTCGGCTCGGGTCATGATCTCACGGTTCGTGAGTTCGAGCCCCGCGTCAGGCTCTGTGCTGACAGCTCAGAGCCTGTTTTGGATTCTGTGTCTCCCTCTCTGCCCCTTCCCTGCTCATTCTGTGTCTCTGTCTCAAAAATAAACATTAAAAAAAAA